TAAATCGCCAGGGAGGCGTGCGCTCTGCTCTGCTGTTAAATATCGCCAGACAGCTGCTGTGCTGGGCGCATGTAAACCTGCTCTCGATCAGACTGGTGTACATCCCCACCGCAGGCCCAACAGCATTGAGGGACATTGCCCGCCCTCATGGCAGCAAACCAGCATAACGCAAAGAAATTTGCACAGTTTTTCCCCCAACTAACTGACTGAGTTGAGTAAAGCTGTTGGATGCAGGTAATGAAGCTGCCATGGAGAGAGGATGCGCTCTCCCAGGCTGGGGCAGAGATCAGGAGCCACCCAGAAATAGGGCAGCGTCTCTGGGTCTGGCGGCTGAATGGGAGCACCTAGAGAGGCTCGGTCTCCCTCAGGATGTGGTGCGCACCATTCAGGACGCACGAGCCGCTTCTACCACAGCATTATATGCTTCGAAGTGGTCAGCCTTTCAACGCTGGTGGACGGGAGAGAGCATGGAGCCCATTTCATGTCCTTTAGGCTGAGTGCTGTCATTTCTCCAGCAGCTGATGGACAGAAATTTAGCTTTCAGCACCATTAAAACATATACTGCAGCTATTTCCTCCTGCCATGAGGGTTTTGGTGAGAGAACGGTTTTCAACCACCAGCTAATGAAGCGGTTTCTGAGAGGTGTGCTCAGAAGCAGACAGGTGTCGCGTCCACTTGCTCCTCCATGGGATTTGACCCTGGCCCTGCACGCTCTGGTTGAAGCTCCATTTGAGCCTTTAGCCCAGGCTCCTCTTAAGTTCATGTCTTTTAAAACTGCTCTGCTGTTGGCCCTTATGTCTGCAAAGAGAGTGAGCGATTGTCCCGCTCTCTCTGTTGCTCCTTCTAATACGAGCCGACGGCAGCTCACCCTGCTTTTACTCCTCAAAGCATCACAAGCTCGTTCAGATCAAGGGAGATATCTTTTGAGGGTTCTTATCCCCCTCCTCATAAATCTGAGACAGAAGCTGCTTCTCATCTTCTCTGCCCCGTGCGCGCGCTCTCTTGTTATGTGGCGCTCACGTCTGCACTGCGTCGCTCTCAGTGTCTGTTCATGCATTACAGAGATAACTCAGTGGGGCGTCCTCTGTCTGCCCAGTGTCTTTCTCACTGGTTGTGTAAGGCCATCTCGCAGGCTTACACTTCTTCTGGATTGGCTCCTCCAGAGAATCTTGAGAGCTCACTCCACCAGAGGGATTTCATCCTCCACAGCTCTGCGTGGAGGAATGTCTGTGGAGGACATTTGCACGGCAGCTTCCTGGTCATCTCCATGCTCATTTATTCGGTTTTACCTGTGTGATGTTTCCACGTTCTCTATGTCCCATTCTGTCCTCAGAGTTCTGACAGAATAATTATTTTTGTCATGTTTATTTACAAAGCATTTGTGAACAACATGGTTGTCCAAAGTGCTGTATAATAAGTTACCTGTTCTGTTCATCGTTACATTGTTACAGTTCGTAACGTTTGTTGTTCCTGTTCACAGCAGCAGGTCTGTTTGTCAACCTTTCTGACCAGAGCCTATTCTCCTCTCTGGTCTTCTGCTGTATGGGAGGCCAGGAGTGCATAATTACACACTCTAGGCTGAGACTGTTTTTGTTATATGCAAGCAGATGCTTCATGGTGGTAGTCTGGATGGACCCAGTGAGGCATAGACTACATCCTGCTTTGCCGTTAACCCACTAGCGATAGCCTTAAAGGGCTGCGCCTATACTCATAGAATCTGGGGTTACAATATGTAACCAACAATTCTTTTAATGATCCTAAATAAATCCCTGAGATAAAATATGGAAATAAGCAGACCATGAATTTTCACAACTTTTGAGCAAAACTACAACCTCATTAGGGCTGGATGATATGGTTGCAAACCTTATTTCAATAAAAGAGTTTCATATTGGTCGATATTGATAATTATTGATTTTTTTTGTTTTCAATATCTAAAATACTGTCAAACTATATATCTATTTTTAAGCAGTTATGAGGTAGGGTAGTACAACCTAAACTGCTGCTGTGCAAGTTACTCAACAGGTTGTTATTAGGTAGCCAAAGTTGTGGGAAACTTGAAACTGCTGGTAACCCAGCAGGTTGTTACTAGGTAACCAAAGAGCAAGTGAGTTAGTCGATGTCACCAACCACAAGAGGTTAAGCGGCTAAAGCCTTTCCTCTCCCTACAGCTCACGGAATGCCATGTGGTTGTGGAACATTCTGTACATTGGATTCCTTTTTGTTTTTGTTCTGGTTTTCTGCAGCCCACGCTCACTCCAGAAAAGAGCGGGAGCGGCGACCGCAGGTGGTGCGGCGATCAGCTCCGGACTCAGGAGTCTTGATCCGCCTCAAGGCGCAGATGGCGGAGGTCCGCAGCAAGATGGCCGACGTCAAGAGTCAAGTTCTGGAAACGCGTGAGTCTGGGGAGCCCAGACCCGGCCCATCTGGTGGCTTCGGCATGGAGGAGGCTTTGGCTCATTCTGCCAGTCCAGAGCTGCCAGCTTGCCACAAGGGCGACGCTCTGGAGCAGGTGGGGCAAGCAGCTGCGACCCGGTCCAAGGCCTGCCGACCCAGTAAGGACTCTGTCAAAAAAAAACTAATCATCTGCTTTTGTTTGTTTAAAGTAGGAAAACAGTTTACCAGCAAAATGCACTGATGCAGAGGCAGAGTTTAAGGCTGGAAGTAAATATTAATGCAGCTCTTTGAGAGCTGTTGTCATCACAAACTATATCTTGTTTTACACTTATGTAAGCAGTTATCATTCCCTGCTGCTCCTTAAAACATCCGGAATCATCTTTACTATAAAGTGTTGCAAAAAAAGGCATTCTTTAGACCTGGAGCAGGAATATTTGACTCGTATTAGACAAATGTCCAAAGCAACAATCCTTCCATTCAGTTGTCTGTCTGTAGAGCATCCATCTACCTATTCATCCATTTGTTATCTTGACATGTTATAAAGTTGTTACATTCTGCAGATTTTTCATTTAACCACTTAAGCCTTTTTTGTATAAAATTAGAAATGCACTAAATACAAATAATCAAATAAATTCATTTTTAAATAAGAAAATAATCATTTTATTCCCTAAAAAAGCAACAACACAGCACTCCTTTAGTTTACATATTATCATTTGTAGCAAATAATGCATCTGCAGCTAGAAGATATTTCTAACATCAGTATATGAAAAGCTTAAGCCTTTCTGCTGGACTTAACATCAATACGGTGTTGGGCTGATCTGTCGATAATTTTTTTATTTAACCACTTCATATTTAGACAGCAGAATGTGCTTAATAGATCTTTTTTTACAGCACTTGAACCAAGTGAAGCTAAAACTTTGCCATTTGTGTTCTAGGCAGAACATATTTACAATTTTTTTTATCTTAAATGCAAAATCTGTATATTTTTTGTACAGTTTTATGAGGTAATTGCCTTTTTTGAGTCTGTATACTCTAGCTAACAATTAATTGATTACCAAATGTTGACAATTATTTAAATAATCAGTTAATAGTTACTAATCACGATTAATCCGTTTCAGCCCTAGAAATACTATAGCAAAAGAAGAGAAGAAACTCCTGTGTTTTGGCCTTAATTAACTGATCATGAAATCAAACCTGTTTGTATAATTAAATCATGATAAAGCTGCCATTGTATTGTATTAAAACGTGACATTATCCCTAGATTGTTCCAGCGTGTTTTTCTGTCTGCAGCCAGGAAGTCTCTGTCTCCCGTTCTGGACAGCAGCGGAGAGTCTCTGCTTGTGAAAAGGAGGAGTTCCGAAGACTTGAAGGACGACCTCAGAGGAGCAGAGTCCGCTGCAGAGCTCAGCCTGCATCCTACAGATGGGACAGGAGCTGGAGAGGGTTAGTCCAGCTTTTTCAAGTTCTTTTCAAACCCAATAAAGTTTATTGGATAATTAGAATTAGGGGCAGCAGAGAAAAGCTGCAACTGTACTTCATTCTTACAACAGCAGCCAGTGCAGTGAGAGTTTAAACATTTCTTAAGTCAGATAAACTGCTGTTTAGCTTTAAATTATTCTCCACAATGTTCTGAGGCATTATGGAGAACATCTTGTTTTTAAAGCCTGGTTCTATGTGACTTATTGTTCTACTTGGCTTATAAGTATTTCTTCAGTGTAGCTCCAAAACCATCCACTCTGTTCTCTGTGCTGTTGGAGTATGGCTGAAAATAGTTGCTGATTCTTGAGTGGCTCAACTGTTTTAAACTTCCGTTGTTTTGGCACAATGCAGTGCTCGTCTCTTAACATTCTTACTTTCTGCACAGCATTGTATGTACATATTTTTTCTTTTACAAACATTGATTTTTATTGGTTTCTATAGAGCCCTCTAGGGGACATGGGGAAAAATTTAGCTTTTGTGTTCCCTCACAATATGCTTACTGCAATATTTGCTGGTCTGTTTTGTATACAGTCACAAATGTCAATTTAAAATTTCAAATGTATGCACATTTAAAGAACCTCAGTGTTTATTCTTAACTCTTTGGTGCAAAAAACTGATTGAAAATTGATTGAGTCCGTTTGAGTAAGGTTGCAATGGAACTGCACATGAAAACATCCCTTTAAACCACTGAGACTACCAATACAAAAGAGACAATCAAAACTGTCAGAAGACTCATTACCCCACGATAATAACCCAGAAATAGTCCAAAAAGTTTAGATGTATTTTTTCTTCTTTCCTACATACGGAAATCTTCTGTTTATATCTTAGGTTTGTGGTGCATTTCTTTCCTAAAGAAAAAGATTTTTTTTAAAAACTTCTGATATTTCACAACGAGATAGTAAGATACATGGAAAAACCTCACAAAAGCCTTATATAATAGCAGAAAGTATGATGGCCACTGTTAGAAAGGTTTGCAGTATTCAATTATGACGCATGAACTAATCAGTACAGTATTGCGAGAGAACACAAAACCTTTTGTGAGATAATGCAAAAGAAAAAAAAAAATTCCATATCCCCTAGGGGGCTCCGTAGGTTTCAACTTCAGATTTGCTAAATTGTCAGATTTATTTAGATGGGTTCAGTTATTAGTTTTTTTTCTCTTTTTTATGAGAATTATTTACACCAAAAATAGAAACAACAAATTTGTCCACAATAAATAAAAACACAACTGTCTCTTGAAAAGCTCAAAACTTAGCAAAAGTTTCATGCCGTCTCTCAATATTTATTAAATAATTAATCCAAATCAGACTTTCCTTCTTATTTTAGTTCAATATTTTAAATAACTAAACAGCAAATATTGGAAATCTTTATGCTTATCACAATAACACATTTTGCTGGACGATAAATTGTTCCAGAAGTTATTGTAATAAATGATAATATTGTTTTGAGACCATTTTTAAGTAATGGAAAAATAATAATGCAAGAACACATTGTAAAGGATCGGTAAACTTTACATTCTAATGAACATTTAACACTGGACCTGGAAAACATTTTAAATATCCAAGATAAACAAAACAACAAATAAAATTAATTTTGAAGTATTTGTAAACAAAATTGTCCTTCAAAAAAAGGGCCGAAGACTTATTTTTTTTTTTGTATTAATATTTTTATTAGAAGGGAAAGAGACATTACAGGCAAAACCTTTACTCTTAACATAGTACGCCGTGATACACACCTTCTTTATGGCATCGATAGAAACGAACAGGATACAGGTATAGAAGAGGTAAAAAGTACATAACTGACAAAAGGCATACAATTTACCTCCTATGAGTATTTTTCTTTTTCATAAGTGAACAAGACACAAGAACAAACCTAGTAAAAAAAAAAAAAAAAAAAAAAAAAAAAAAAAAAAAAAGAAAACAGAGGGGGAAAAAAAAAAAAAAAGGGTGGGATGGGGTGTAGCACTCAATCCGGGGGAAGAGACTGAAGAGAGTGAAAGAATGTCATGAAAGGGCGCCATAAGTTATAAAATTTGGCTGAGCTGCCTTTCACTGAATATCTAATTCTCTCCAATTTTAGAAAAGACATGGTGTCATTTAGCCACTGATTGCTAGAGGGTGGTTTAGTTAGTTTCCAGTGGAAAAGAAGACGGCATCTTGCCAATAAGGAAGTAAATGCTAAGACGTCCAATTGATTGGAAGTGAACTGTTTGTAGTTAACTGGAAGCCCAAATATGGCAACATGGGGAGAAGGTTTAATAACCACTGAAAGTATCTTTGACATAGTAATAAAGTAGGTCTGCCAAAAACTATGAAGAGATGAACAGGAATAAAACATGTGAGTTAAATTACAGGTAGGCGCACGACATTTCTCACAAATGTCAGAAACGGAGAAAAATTGCGACAATCGATTTTTAGAGAGATGAACCCTGAAGAGAACTTTAAACTGTATAAGAGAAAGTCGAGCACAGATTGAGCTTGAATGAATTTTCTTAAGAGCATTATTCCACCAATCCTCTCCCAAATTTAGACCAAGTTCGAGTTCCCAAGCAGCCTTAATCTTAGTAATGAGTGAAGAATTAAAAGACAGAATTTCATTGTAAACTTTAGAGATATATGACCTTTGAAGAGGATCCCAACTCAGAAACAACTCCAAGTACAGGTTTGGTGGCCTAGAAGGAAAACCGGGAAACAGAACCCTGGCGCAGTGTCTAATTTGAAAGTACCGGAATAGATGAGAAGGGGGGAGATTAAATTCTGATGCAAGGTCTGTAAAGCTGCGAAAAATACCTTCTTTGTAAAAATCCTTAAAACATAACAGCCCTTTATTATCCCATGACAAAAAGGCGGGATCTGTGAGTGCTGGTTGAAACAAGTGGTTCCTCATTAAAGGAGCAAGTGTAGATGCTGAGTTAAGTTTGAAATGCCTCCTAAACTGGCACCAAATTTTTAAGACGGAGCGAACTACTGGATTGTTTGTAAAGCCAGAGGGGTTGGATGTAATGGGGGAAGTGAGAAGAGCAATTAGTGAGGATTGGGAGCATGATTGTGCTTCCAACTTGCACCATGGGAAGTTCAGGGATCCAAACCAAAATGAAATTTTGTGGATATGGGCCGCCCAATAATACAGCTGGAAGTTTGGAAGTGACAAACCACCGCTGAATTTGCATCTATGAAGAGTGGATTTGCGGATTCTGGGTGATTTACCACACCATAGGAAGCCAGAAATAACTTGATCCAACATTTTAAAGAAATGTTTCGGCAGAAACAGTGGAAGACTATTGAACAAAAATAAGAATTTAGGTAAAACATTCATTTTAATTGCATTGATTCTACCTATAAGTGAAAGAGGTAAACTATTCCATCTTTGGAGGTCCAATTTAATTTTAGCAATTAAAGGCAAAAAGTTAGCAGCAAAAAGAGAGCTTAATGACCTAGTTACACTGACACCCAGGTACTTAAAACCAGAGCAGCTCAACTTAAACGGAATGTCAGATTGTGAAAGCTTTAATGCAGCCGCGTTGATAGGGTAGCATTCACTTTTAGCAATATTTACTCTGTAACCAGAAAAAGATCCAAATCTTTGAAAAGCAGATAAAATTGACGAGATGGAAAGATTAGGGTTTGAGACGTACAGCAATAAATCGTCAGCATAAAGAGATAGTTTGAATTCTGTACCTAATCGGGAAATTCCGGTGAAAGAGTTAGAGGACCTTAAAAAGATTGAGAGAGGCTCTATAGCCAGAGCAAACAACAAAGGGGATAACGGGCATCCCTGTCTAGTGCCGCGGAAAAGTCAGAAAAAACTGGATTGAATACCATTGGAGGAGACACTAGCATGAGGGGAAACATAAAAGAGACGTATATAAGAAATGAATGCATCACCCAGTCCAAATTTCTTTAAAACTGCAAATAAGTAATCCCATTCAACTCTGTCGAACGCTTTCTCAGCGTCGACCGAGATCACAACTTCAGGTATTTCAGTGGAGGTTTTGGAGTAAATAATATTCAGGAGTGTACGGACATTAAAGAAGAGTTGCCTCCCCTTAACAAATCCAGTTTGCTCATGTGAAACAATAGTTGGTACTATACTTTCCAGACGACAAGCCAAAGCCTTAGCAAGGATCTTAGCGTCTACATTTATTAAAGAGAGAGGTCTGTATGAGCTACAAATATTGGGATCTTTATCCTTTTTTAAGAGGAGACAAATAGAGGCTTGTGTTAAAGTATGAGGGAGACTGCCCTTTTGTAGTGACTCTTTGTATACCGCATGGAGTATTGGGGATAGCTTGTCCTGGAATTTTTTAAAAAATTCAACAGGGAATCCATCCGGACCGGGAGCTTTGTTACTTTGCATGCTTTTCATGGCAGCAACAATCTCCTCTATGGTTAAAGGCAAGTCAAGTTCCTTAGCAACATTTGGGTTTATCACAGGGAAGTTGAGGCCGTCAAGGAACTGATTCATTTCAGTAGGATTAGCTGGAAATTCGGATTTAAATAACACAGAATAAAAAGACTGAAAAACCGAATTAATGGTAGTAGGATCCTGATGCAGAGTGCCTGACAAGTCCATAATCTGTGGGATCATGTGCGAAGCTGCCCGACGACGAAGCTGGTGAGCGAGAAGTCGGCTAGCCTTATCACCATGTTCAAAATAAGTAGAGCGTGACCGTAAGAGAAGTCGCTCTGCATCATTGGTGGTAAGAAGATCAAATTCAGTCTGTAAGTCAACCCGTTGTTTAAGTAAACCTGGTGAGGGGGAAATAGCAATTTGTTGATCCAGATTAGTAATATCAGTACTAAGTTCTAGCAATTTCGCTTTGCGCATCTTATTCAAGTGGGCGGAATATGAGATAATTTGTCCTCGTAAAAACGCTTTTAATGATTCCCAAAGTAAAGAATATGAAATTGGATTACTCTCATTTTGATTTAGTACAATGAAATCATCAATTTGAGCTGCGATAAATGTGTTGAACCTTTCATCTGAAAGAAGTAGAGGGTTGAGTCTCCAAGGTGTGACATACCGATGTTGAAAAGCAAACTTAATATCTAATGAAAGAGGGGCATGATCAGAAATGACAATAGGGTGATAATCAACAGATAGAACATTTGGAATTAATTTAGAGTCAACAAAAAAATAATCAATACGAGAGAAAGACTGATGCAAGTGGGAAAAGAAAGAAAATTTCTTGGATTGGGGATTATAAAATCTCCAAGGATCAACGCATCCATTCTTTGACATGAAATCTGAGAGTGATCTAGACATTAATGTAGGGACCAAACTGCGTGGGGCAGACCTATCTAATTTGGGATCGATGACGCAATTCATATCCCCGCCTACTATAAGGAGATTATTATCTAAAGAAGGAAGAGATTCAAAAAGCTTATTCATAAAGTTAGGGTCATCAAAGTTGGGGGCATATATATTCACTAACAGAATTGGGACATGGAATAATTTACCAATGACAATTAAGTATCTACCATTTTTATCCGAAATAATTTTAGAAGCTGAAAACTGAATTGATTTGCTAACTAAAATAGCAACCCCCCTGGCTTTAGAGTTGAAATTTGAATGAAATGCATCAGAAACCCGGGGACATTTTAGTCTGACCTGATCTTTGGTGCGCATATGGGTTTCCTGTAAAAACACTAGGTCAGCTTTAAGATGTTTCAAATGGGCAAAAATCCTTGATCTCTTAAGTGGGCTCCCCATACCTTTGATGTTCCAGCTCAAAAATCTCACAGAAGACCCCGTTTGTGGGATGTTCACATTGTTATCTTTAGTAGACATGTTTCAAGACGATTGTAAAGGTAGAGACAGGAAA